CCTGCTTTTTGTGTACAGGACATACTTGGGTAATTTTCCACATGGTCAGGTAGATACCAGTGTTGTAACTGGACAGGTATAGCTTGGCTAGGGGAGTGGCAAGTTCTGGAGCACATCTTCAGTACTATTGCCGGAATGTTGTCAGGGCCCGTAGCCTTTGCAGTATCCAGTGTCTCCAACCGTTTCTTGATGGAATGAATCGATTTGGCTGGAGACTGGTATCTGTAATGCTGGGGACCACTGGAGGAGGCCGAGATGGATCATCAGCACATGACTCAGCCCTTCCGACTGAAGATTGCTGTGAAAGCTTCAGCCTTATCTTTTGCACTGAAGTGCTGGGCTCTTCCATCATTGAGGATGGGGATATTTGTGGAGCCTCCTCCTCCAGTGAGTTGTTTAATTGTCCACCACCATTCACAACTGGATGTGGCAGGACTGCAGAGCTTAGATCTAATCCATTGGTTGTGGGATCGCTTAGTTCTGTCTGTCACTTGCTGCTTTTGCTGTTTGGCATGCAAGTAGTCCTATTTAGTGGCTTCACCAGGTAGACACCTCAACTTCATGTATGCCTGGTGCTGCTCCTGGCATACCCTCCTGCACTCTCCATTGAACCAGGGTTGATCCCCTGGTTTGATGGTAATGGTTGAGTGGGGGATATGCCGGGCCATGAGGTTACAGATTGTGCTGGAGTACAATTCTGCTGCTGTTGATGGCCCACAGCGCCTCCTGGATGCCCAGTCTTGAGTTGCTAGATCTGTGCAAAGTCTGTCCCATTTAGCACAGTGATAGTGCCACTTGTCAGCCCAAGCCTGGATATTGTCCAGATGTTGTTGCATTGGAATGTTATGGAAGTTATTCTCAATGTGAAGGAAGGACTTTGTCTTAACAAGGACTGTGTGATGGTCACTCTTACTGATACTGTCATGGACAGATGCATCTGCAGCTGGCAGATTGGTGAGGATGAGGTCATGTATGTTTTTCGCTCTTGTTGGTTTTCTCACCACCTGCTGCAGACCCGTCTACCAACTATGTCCTTTAGGACCCAACCAGCTCGATCTGTAGTACTGCTGCTGAGCCACTCTTGGTGGTGGACATTGAAATCCTCCAGCCAGAGTACATTTTGTGCCCTTGCCATCCTCAGTGCTTCCTCTAATTGTTGTTCAACATTGAGGAGTACTGATTCATCAGCTGAGGGAGGACAGTACATAGTAACCAGCAGGAGGTTTCCTTGCCCATGTTTAACCTGAAGCCATGAGACTTCATGGGGTCCGGAGTCAATGTTGAGGACTCCCAGAGCAACTCCCTCCCGACTGTATCCCACTGTGTCATCCCCTCTGCTGGGTCTGTCCTGTCAGCGGGACAGGATATATCCAGGGATGGTGACGGTGGTGTCTAGGACATTGTCTGTAAGGTATGATTTTGTGAGTGTGACTATGTCAGGCTGTTGCTTAACTAGTCTGTGAGACAGCTACCCTCGAGAAGATGGGAGTGAGCTGCCTTCTTGAACCACTGCAGTCCATGGACTGTAGGTAGCTCCACAATGCCCGTAGGGAGGGAATTTGGGATTTTGACTGAGCGACAATGCAGGAACACATATATTTTTCAAGTCAGGATGGTGAGTGGCTTAGAGGGGAATTTGCAAGTGGCGGAGTTCCCATGTATCGGCTGTTCTTGACCTTCTAGATGGAAGTGGTCATGGGTTTGGAAGGTGCTGTCTAAGGAGCCTTGGTGAATTTCTACAGTGCATTTTGTAGATTGTGCACACTGTGATGGTGAATGTTTGAGGGCGTGGTACCAATCAAATGGGCTTGTTTTGTCCTGGAAGATGTCACGCTTCTTGAGTGTTGTTGGAGCTGCACCCATCCAGGCAAGTGGGGAGTATTCCATCACACTCCTGACTTGTGCCTTGTAGATGGTAGATAGACTTTGAGGAGTCAGGAGGTGAGTTACTCACTGCTGTATTCCTAGCTTCTGACCTGCTCTTGTAGCCATGGTTTTTATATGGTTGGTCCAGTTCAATTTATGAATGAGTTTACGACCAAGAGAAAAAAAAGTTGGCCATTTGGCCCTCAGAGAACCGGTATTTGATAAGATCTGATCTGATTTTAACCTCAACTCTACATTCCTGTATATCCCCTGATAATCCCTCAACCTCTTGGTCATCAAGAATCTATGTCCTTCTGCCTTAAATATTTAAAAATTCTTCATCTACTGCCTTTTGAGGAAGGGAATGCCAAAGACTCACAACCTCTCAGAGAAAAATCATATTTCCTCATTTCTGTTTTAAATGGGTGACCCTTATTTTTAAACTATGACCTAGTTCTAGTTTCTCCCACAATAGGAAATATCTTTTCAACATCTATCTGGTCAAATCCCTCAAGACCTTCTGTGTTTCAATTGAGTCACTTTTGACTCTTCTAAACTCCTGAGGATATAGGCTCACCCATCTAGCCATTCCAGGTATTCTTCTAAGAACAAAAACAGAATTTGCTGGGAAAGCTCAGCAGGTCTGGCAGCATCTGTGAAGAGAAATCAGAGTTTCGGGCCCAGTAAACCTTCCTCAGAGCTTATTATTCTGGTAAACCATCTGTGAACTGCTTCCAATACATTAACATCCATCTGTAAATATGATGACCAGTTCTGTACACAGTACTCCAAATGCAGTCTCGCTAATGCCCTGTATAACTGCAGTGTAACCTCCCTACTCCTGCATCAATTCCCCTCACAATAAACTGTCATATTTTATTAGCTTTCCTGATTACTTGCTGTACCTGCAGACTAATTTTCTGTGATTCATGCACTAAGACACCCAGATTCCTCTGCATGTCAGAAATCTGCAACCTCTCACTATTTAGATAAATGCACTACATTTTTATTCTTTCTGCCAAAATGTTCATTTTCACAATTTTCTAGATCTTAGCTCACTCACTGAACCTACCTATTTCCCTTCGTAGCCTCCTTATATCCTCTTCCACAACTCACTTTCCTGCCTATCTCTGTGTCATCAGTAAATTTAGTTCCCACACCTGGGGAGGTGATGGCCATGTGATATTATTGCTGGACTGTTAGTTCAGAGATCCAGGTAATGTTCTGGGGACTTGGGTTTGAATCCCACCAATTTGAATTTAATTTTAAAAAATCTGGAATTAAAAGTGTAATGACCATGAACCCATTGTCAATTGTTTTAAAAAAAAACCCATCTGGTTCACAAATGTCCTTTAGGGAATGAAAATGCCATCCTTACCTGGTCTGGCCTACATGTGACTCCAGACCCATAGCAATATGCAGCAATCAGGGATGGGCAATAAATGCTTCCCTAGCCAGCGATGTCCTCATCCCACGAATGAGCAAATTTTTTAAAAACCCCTTCATCCAGATCACTTTTATAAATTGTAAAGTGTCGAGGTCCCACCACTGACCCCTGGGGGACACCACCTGGCACATCCTGCCAGCCTGAAAATGACCTAATTATTCCTCCTCCCTGCTTCCTGTTACCCAGCCAATCGTCTCTCCATGTCAATATGTTACCCCCCAAGCCACGAGCTTTTATTATTTGTAACAACTGTGGCTGTGACACATTATCAAATGTTCTCTGAATCTAAGTACAATCCATCCACTGGTTCCCCTTTATCGACAGCGCAGTTACTTTCTTGTAGAACTCCAATTAAACATGATTTCTCTTTGCTTAAACATAATTGGTCCTGCCGGATAACCTTGAACTTATCCAAATGCCTGTTATAACATCTTTTAATAATTGCTTCTGATATTTTCTCTAAGACAGAGGTTGTGATAATTGGCCTGTATTTTTCTGCTTTCTGCCTCCCTCCCTTTTTGAACTAAGTAATTACATTAGCTCATTTCCAATCCCTGAATCTAATGAGTTTTGGAAAATTAAAGCCAATGTATCAACTATTTCACTGGCTACTTCTTTTGTGACTTGAGGATGAAATCCATCAAGTCGTACGAACTTGATCAATTTGATCAATTTATCTCTTTATCTTTCACGACTAATTCCCCAGACTCACTTTCTATAGGACCAACATTTACTTTGTTAACAAAAACAAAGTTGCTGGAAAAGCTCAGCAGGTCTGGCAGCATCTGTGAAAGAAAAAAACAGAGTTAACGTTTCAGGTCCGGTGACCCTTCCACAACTTTGTTTTTGTTCCTGATTTACAGCACCCGCAGTTCTTTCGGTTTTGTATTTACTTTGTTAACACTGGTTACTGGTCAATGATAACCCCCAGAATGTTGTTAGTGGCGATTCAGTGATGGTCATAGGTGTTGCCCTCCAAACGTGGGGGCGGGAGAAGGGGGAGGGAGGGTTATTACCTCAATTGCACTGATTGACTTCCTCACTCCTCCCTGGAGTGGGTATTTCCCCTGAGAATGTACCTCGGAATCTGCAGCTGGTGTGATCAGAGAATGGCACTGGACCCTGGTGCTGAAGCAGCTTCTGTCAAACTGAGTCCACTCCCTGCGCAGCAATCAGACTCGAGTCGCAGAGGAAATGGAATTATCACTTGGTGATCAGGCACAGGTTCTGTTTTTCTCATTTTTCTAATTGCTCTGTTTAGCCACATGTTCTTTGCTGCCCTCCCAGGCAGTTCCTGTGACACTTTGATCTGATAAAGGTCAGCAATCCCAGCTGACCTCCCATTCCAGCAGTAACTGCTATTTTTAATGAATAGGTTACTGTCGATGCAACAAATTACTTCTGCTCTTGTTCTAATCTGACACTTCCTGGGTCCAGAAAATAGGCTGCTGCTCCTGAGTTTAAACAGTCCCTTGAATCTCTCCATCAGGAAGCTCATTACGAGCCCATACTCTCAGTCACAGATCTATAATTCATGTTTCCTGTGGCTCGGCGTGTGGAGCTGATGGTGGTGAGGACAGAATAACAACACAATTCATTTGCTTCAGACTGTGGACCGGAGCCGGGAGAGAGAGAGAGAGCTGGATGGAAACTGAGCGACGGTCATAGTTGCTGACAATCGGGCACTGGAGAGAAATATGGATCCAAAAAACAGGAAGAAAATCAGTTTCTCGGTGCCGGTAAGATCCAGTCACCTGGATAGCAGAGCAGTGGAGAAGGTAGGACTGTGATGTGGAGCTTAGCTAATGGTAGTTAGAACTCGCTGCTTGATTCTGTAAACTTCTCTCTGTGGCCTCAGTAGTGAGGGATTTATTCTTTAATTAGTCTCTGTTTCTTAAACCTGAGACAGAGTCTCTCCAAGACTTTAACATGGAGATTTATTCTGTAATCGGCGGATTTCCTCGAAAATAACTTCTTCCTAAAAATTCCTTGCAGCATTAACACCCTTTTTTGTCTAATATTGACATTGCCCTAAACACATTTAACCCTACACCCAATCCCAAACCCCACTCTCAGCCCCTCCTACACCCAATCCCAAACCCCACTCTCAGCCCCTCCTACACCCAATCCCAAACCCCACTCTCAGCCCATCCCACACCCAATCCCAAACCCCACTCTCAGCCCATCCCACACCCAATCCCAAACCCACTTTCAGCCCAGCCCACACGCAATCCCAAACTCAAATATCCCCAACCTGAATCCCAATATCCCATCACAGTCTCCTGGATTTGTAACAAAAATAGACGTTGCTGGAAAAACTTAGCAAGTCTGGCAACCTCTGTGGAAAGAAAGCAGGGAAAACATTTTGAGTTCAGTGACCTTTCGCAAGAATTGTTAGCAGCTAGGAAAATATGATATTTATAGAATTATTTAATCCCTACAGTTCAGGAAGAGGCCAGTTGGCCCATTGACTCTGCACTGACCCTCCAAAGAGCATTCTACTCAGACCCACCCACTCGAAACCCCACATGGGATTTTTACCATGGCCAAGCCACCTAACCTGCACCTTCTTGGATACTACGGGCCAATTTAGCATGGCCTAACCACAAGACCTACACATTTTTAGACTGTAGGGGAAACTGGAGCACTCAGAGGAAATACACACAGACACGGGAGGAATGGGCAAACTCCACACAGACAATTGCCGGAGGGTGGAATCAAACGCAGGTCCCTGGTGCTGTGAGGCAGCAGTGCTAACTGCAGAGCCACCGTGCCATCCCACACTGAAGATGAGGTGGGGGCGAGGGGATGCGGTGAACGGAAGAGGTGAGCACATAGGTGGAGATGAAGCCCAGAGAGAGAGAGATATGAAGCGGGTAGGTAAACAAGGAGATTATTGACAGCAGGCCAGGACAGAAGCAAAGCTGAATAAGTGATAATAAAAGCTAAGAGTAGGAAAGAACTGGTGAACTGTATTTAAAGCAATCCATACATTGTGGTACAAACATAGAAATTGCTGGGAAAACTCAGCAGGTCTGGCAGCATCTATGGAGAGAAAGCAGAGTTAATGTCTCTGGTCCATTGACCCTTCTGAAGAACTTTGAAGAAGGGTTGCTGCACCCGAAACATTAATCCTGCTTTCTCTCCACAGATGCTGCCAGACCTGCTGAGTTTTCCCAGCAATTTCTGTTTTTGTTTCTGATTTCTAGCATCTGCAGTTCTTTGTTTTTCTTTCCATTTAATTTCATTCCATTTAATGTGAATATAGGCTTAGGAGTACATGGGAATGGGTGACTATGCTAAAGCAACCCATGTCATAACAGGACCAGGTGTGAAAAATGAAGGATGGAATCAGGCTCAGCTGGGAGTGGGGTTTGGGGCTGGATTCTGGGCAAGGGGGGAGCTGGGAATGGGGTTTGTGGCTAGTTTCTATGGGTTGTGGGGTGCTGGGAATGAGGGACAGGGCTGCATTCTAGGGGTGCAGGAGCTGGGAGTGGGGATTGGTGCTGGGTGGGCCGGAACTGGGAGTGGGTTTGGGAGTGGTTCCTGAGGGAAGGGGCGCTGGGAAAGGGCTGGGGCACTTGGCTGTAGGGAAGGGGTTTGAGACTGTGGGCTGGGGAAAGTGTTTACTAGCTGGACCCTGGGTGCTGTGTTTGTCTAATAGCAAGAACTGAGTTTACTGTGTGATGTGGAGTGGCCTGGTCCATATGCACTGTATCCGTGCTCCCACTGTGACTGGATTAAAAAGCTGGTGAACTTTGAAAGTAATGGAATTCCTGATCAGTATCTGATGGACATGTCGAGGTGATTTTCTGATTACAGCTTTCTCCTGTTTATTCCTATAGATTCGAAGACGGAGACCTACTCCAGCAACACTGTTCAGACTCTCTGATCACTCATCACCAGGTAACTGAACATACCATAGGTAACACTGTCATGGCATCAGCAGTGAAGCCAGCAGCAAGACAGAGCTCTCTTAAGGCCTGGCACAGTAATTAGTGTGAGAGACCAGAAACCAGGATAGCAACAATGAGGGAACAGCACTCACTACCTCCTCCCTCCCTTACCTACTGCCTTCAGACCCTTAGATCCCGGTTCACACTCACTTTGCCACACTTCACTCCTCTCTGCTCCTCACCCCACCCACTCACTATTTCAACCTCTTTCCCAAAACTGGAATACCTGTCACTGGGGGAGGGGTCCCACTGGCATTCGGAAGCCTGGCGCTCACTCCAGTGACCTGTGACCTAAGGCAGAAGAGTCTATCTCGGAGGGATCTCGAATAGTTCAGAGTGAAGGCACGCTTTCTTTCAGAGAATGATACAACAGAGAATACAGCGGCCATTTGGTCCATCATAGCTATGCTGACCTTTGAAGGAGCTATACAATTAGGTCCCACTCGACTACCTATTCCCTAGAGCTCTCAAAATGTTTCTCCTTTTCCATTATCTCTCTTTTTAAAAGTTTCTGTTGAATCTGCTTCCATCACCCTTTCAGGCCGTGCATTCCTGATCCCAGTCACTCAATGCTTTACTTCAGCCAATTGCCAGACAATCTGCTCACTGTTCCGAGTGATACCACTTTAGCTGCAATCAGACTGAAAGGTTTAAGCCAAAAGCAGCTTAAGCCAGTGCTGGGTAAAGTGGTAACAGCAGAAAAGAGAGATGCTGTAAGCACCAGTGTTTCTCAATCTGACTGACAGCCTCAGTCAGGTAATAATGTCGCTATCCAGTGAAGCAGTTTGATTAAAATACATTGTACTTCTGTTTATATCACATAAGTTGCTCACATTTATTCCTTTCTATTTTTTCTCTAGAAGAGGAACCAGTTTCCTACCAGGTCAGTCTGATATTATTGACTTTCCGCTGGGTTACATGGAGTCTGTTTCCTGAGCGACACCTGGCTGATCTCCTCCTATCACAAAGCACTCATTTATTCCCATCAATGGTGCTACCCTGCTCCTGGGCCTCAGAGCCACTCTCCTCCCTACGGGTTGGGGGAAGCAACGGCAAAGTGGGATTGTCACTAGTCTAGTCATCCAGACACCCAGTTTAACAATGGGATTCAAATCCCATCATAATTAAAAACTAGACTCTGTAATGAAACCATCATTGATCTTTGTAAAAAGCCGTCTGGTTCATTAACATCCTTTAGAGAAGGAAATCTGTCTTCTTTACCTGGTCTGACCTACATGTGACTCCACACCCATAGCATTTAAACTACCCTCTGAAATGGCTAAGAAAGCCATTCAGTTCAAGGGCAGTTAAGGGTGGGCAATAAATGCTGGCTTTGCAGTGACACGCACATCCCATGAAGGAACTTTTTAAGCCAGTCTGTGTGTCCAATTTTTAAATTGACCACCTAGCGCCCGCTGAGATGATGTCAGTATGAACATTGATTCAATTGTTTTTAAAACCAGGTCTGGATTGATTATTAATTTTTTAAAAATAAATTCTGCTAAATGTCTGGTTATGCCAGCTATTCCCACATGGTTTGCTCCAGTGACATTTCCTAGATTAATTGGTTTCCCAATAGCAGAGGAAGAGGATAGGCCATTCACACCCTTGAGCCTATTCCACCATTCAGTGTGATCATGGCTGGTTTTGGCTCACATTCCTTAATACCGTTGCTTAACAAAAATTTATCTCAGTTTAAAATTAACAACTGATGTGGCATCAACTGTTATTTGTGGGAGAAACCTCAACACCTCTGCTCCCCTTTGTGTGCAATGTAAACTGTCAGAGTTTGTAGAGATATCAGGAAAAGCAAAATGGGATGAGGATCCAGAACTGTCAAACTCCCTTCCCCTCCCCCTCGCCCCAAGAAAACAAACACAGAGATTGATTGATGTAAGTTGGGTGAGGGGATTAATGTTTCTGGAACCAAGATTGATTAATGAAATTAAGATCAGTCATTATCTAACTGAACGGTGAAACAGTCTTGAGCAGCTGAGTGGCTGCCTCCTGTTAGTTAGAACTTCGTTGGCAAGGTCATCGTGACATGTGAAAGTAAAGGATATGCCTGTTTTCTGTTCCAGAGATCATCCTCCACTGACAGTGAGATTCTGAAATCCAAACGAGCCACTCCATCCAGCTCTTACACACCTCCCTCATTAAAAGGTGGGTGTTCCATCAATACTGTTCCCTGCACCTTGTGCATTGCAGGAAGAGACGTGATTAAATCTGGAGACGGTGCACAAATTTTCTCCTCTGAAGGACAGCAGCAACCTGGCTTCAGGTGGATGAAATGTGGAGAGAACCTGAACAAGGTGACTATAGCTGGCTAGACTCCAGTCCAGGATCACTTTCAGTGCGGACTCTTACTATTAACCTGGCAATAAAGGAAACAGTCCTTGTGTCTCTGCCTGAAGGCATTGGTCTGGACATGGCCACCAGCAACTGTGCTGTCAGGTTGTTGGACTGAAATCATGTTAAGGATAAGTCAACGTTTCCTTCTGATAAATACCAGATATTTAGACCCTAACCACAAATGTTGCTTCCTTTCCACTGATTCCACTCCAGGCTGAACACTCTTTCCCTCAGGATGAAGTGGTTCGTGTTAAACCTCAGCAAGTTATTGGACCTGAATGGGTTTCAAACTCTACATCCAATCTGTCACCAGGATCACATCATTTCAAAGTTGCCTCATCTCCTGCCTCCACTTGGGTCTCAGCTTCACTCGAGCTGAGAACTGTTCTTAGCTCTGTCCTTGATTATACCAACAGCTTCAACACAATCAGCCTGTCATACACTATCTCACTGCCCATATCCAGACCCTGTCCTATCACCCTTTGCCTCAGGCCCATTCCCCTCCCCCTGAATCCTGCCCTTCTCACTCTTACTCTATTTGACATTGAATTCCACTTGCTTCTTGGACCATGACACATCTGGGGTGAAGTTTGACTGATGTATGTAAAATGGAGCTGAGTGAATCATTAGTTTTACATCTTACATCATTTTTATTTCCAGTAAAGTTAACAGTTAAAAGCCTGTTCCAGGCCATACATGTGCTGTACGTGGATATGTATATTGAATTTGTGTGTTCTGTGTTTTGGGTCTTTTCTGGACCATATGTTTTAGATTGTGTGTGTGTGTTCATGTATTTTTCAGCTGTTCAGTGCATTGTGCAATCCCAGTTTGGAGCTGAATCCACACATTCGCAGTTGTATGACACCCCCTCAGATCTGGCAGAGTGTGACAGTATTCAATCTGATTCCTCCGATACGGACCTTCTCCAAATAGACCAAGATCCACAGACAGACCGAAACGCGTGGCCAAAATCCGGCTGTGGAACACCAGCTGTGGACACTGCCAGTAAGTGGGAAGAATGAACATCGTTGGAAAAGGTGCAGAGGAGATTTACCAGGATGTTGCCTCGAATGGAGGGAAGGTCTTACGAGGAAAGGTTGAGAGAGAGCTAGGGCTTTTCTCTTTAGAATGACAAAGGATGAGAGGTGACTTGATAGAGATGTACAAGATGAGCAGAGGTATAGATAGAGTGGACAGCCAGAGACTTTTTCCTAGGGTGGAGGTAGCAATTACGAGGGGGCATAGTTTTAAAGTGAGTGGAGGTAGATATAGGGGAGACGTCAGACATAGGTTCTTTTCTCGGAGAGTGGTAGGGGCGTGGAATGCATTGCCAGAGACGGTAGTGGAGTCGGCCTCATTAGGGGCATTTAAGCGGCTATTAGATAGGCATATGGATGATAGTATAAGGTAGGGGTGGAGGTTAGATAGACCTTAGGTTTAGGGTAAAAGTTCGGCACAACATCGTTGACAGATGAGCCTGTATTGTGCTGTACAGTTCTATGTTCTATGTGCTATCAGATCACGATGGAATGAAAATAAGAAACTGCACTTGAGACAGCACTGTGACTAACAGTGAGAACTGAGCCCTGGGGATGTGCAGAGCCTATCTGCTGTGGACATTGCTCAGAGAGTCTCTGCATGAAGAAACAAACCAACATCCTTAAACTCCAAGGGCTAAGTTTCCTCACCACAGTTAATCAATTAAAATGAGGTTTCATTATAAGACATAGGAGCAGGAGGAAGCCATTCTACCCATCGAATCCATTCCATCATTCAATACAACCATGGCTAATCTTTGACTACAAATCCACTTTCCCGCCCACTCTCCGTATTGATTGATTCTTTGAGAGACCAAACATTCATCGATGTCAGCCTTAAATATATTCAGTAATGGAGCATCCACAACCTTCTCGGGGACAGAATTCCAAAATTGCATAACTTTTTGAGTGAAGAAATTTCTCTTCCTCATTCTAATTGATCACCCACTATTTTGGTAAAATAGAGAACAACTTGTTCAAATTGAGGTGTCACTGCACTCCTGACAGACACCTATCCAATGTGGGAAATGTCCGCACATGATCCATACACGTGGGGTTCCAAATACAGGGCAATCCATGTGTCCCGGGGAACACACTGAGAACGACATGCAAACAGCCACAGGCACTAACCTGAAACACTGAGACCAGAGATCTTACTGAACACATTCTCCTGGATTCTATCCACAGAATTGGGCCACACTGGGCAGGATCAACATACACACAGAACATCATGGGAATGGCCAAAAGCTATCCAAGCATGGTCACCTGTCAATGGGGAAAAGAAACTACTTCACAGCAAGGTAGAGAGATGTGGAGAGATCTGGTAGCACCCAAAGACTGGCAGTGAACTTGAACCACACATTGAGGGAGATTGGACAGTGTGCAGGCATCCTTTCTGCTGACACTGAAGGAACATTCTATTCTGTAACCATATCCACAGATCCTCAGTCCTGTAGAGAGAAGGGGAATGATAGAGCAGAAAGAACAAACAACATGGAAATTCAATGTTTGCATCTTCCTTCCCAATGGAGCTAGTTCTCATTCCCAGATAGCCATCACTGACATGGGGTTAAAGCAACATAGGCTCCACCCACATCTCCTCCAGCAAAGGCTGTGTGTAAAGGGCTGCTCCCCAAATGCCCGTCCCAATTTTACTTCAGGTTTCATAATTTAAAATGGATTATTTTCCATTTTTTGCGCATGATACATTGTCATTGTCAGATATTCTTCAATGAATTGAAATGATGTTTTTCCACTCAGTGAAGTGTAGGAATTCTGGAGTGGGTACAGGATATTCTGTAGTAATTGTGTCAGGTACTGTTTGTTTTTGCCACCATCCTTGTTCCTCGGACTAATAGTCTGTTCTGATTTACAGCAACTGGGACAGAGGAGGAGAGATCCCAGGCTAAGTGCAGAGGGAAGCCACTCACTGATGAACAGGACTGTGAAAAGGCCTGACAGAAACCAGGGACTTTGTGACCCTGTGCTAGCCTTCAACTTGAATGCTTTGCCCTGTTTGGTTTGAGTAGCTTTGCTGACAATAATCCTGCTTCTAATTAAGTTTGAATTTTTACCTTGTCTTTGAATTTTCTGGTGACCCCCAAGACAGTTCAGTGCAGATGTTTAACAATCATTCGAATTAAGGACAGGCATTGTCCATTCAGCCCTTCAAGCCCTCTCTGCTATTCAATAAGATCTCAGTGTGGCCTCTACTTTCTACCCAGCCTTTGATTCCCTCGTGTTATGATTTCATCTGGTGTTATTACTGGACAAATCAGATCCCAGACTGAAATCTGGTTTGAGAGATCAAATTTGTTTTGATTTAGTTTTAAGAAAGTGGTGTCTCATTGAGATAGAAGTGCAAAATACTGCAGATTTTGTTTTAACAATGAAATAAGAAGTTTATGAAGTGAAATAAGAAGTTTATGAAATGAAATAAATTAAGATAAAATGGAATAGATTAAAATAACTTTCCACTCCCCTTCTCACAAGCACTGCTCCATACAATCATCTCTTACCAAGAACATCACAGAACAGCCCAAAACAAAAACCTTTCCCTCTGAACTATGGGAAATTGCCTTAAGATGAAAAATATTCTCTAAATCTAGAAATGTGTCTAAAGGAACAGTGGTTCACTCCAATAAGTCATAAAACCTTAAAATAAACACTAACCAATTAGAGATAGTAAGAACACTAACCGATTAGGATGCCTAAGTAGACCTACCAAAGTATTTTAGCAGGGGACTGTTGCCTAGCAAAGAGACCTAGGGGTGCAGGTGCATAGTTCCTTGAAAGTGGAGTTGCAGGTAGACAGGACAGTGAAGAAGGCATTTGGTACGCTTGCCTTTATTGGTCAGTGCATTGAATGTTAGAGTCAGGACATCATGTTGCAGCTGCACAGGACATTAGTGAGGCCATCTTAGAATACTGCATTCAATTCTGGTCTGCCTGCTATAGGAAAGATGTTGTTAAACTTGAAAGGGTTCAGAAAAGATTTACAAGGATGTTGCCAGGGTTGGAGGGTTTGAGCTATAGGGAAAGGTTGAATAGTCTGGGGCTTATTTCCTTGGAGCATCGGAGGCTGAGGGGTGACCTTATAGAGGTTTATAAAATCATGAGGGGCATGGATAGGGTGAACAGCTAAAGTCTTTTCCCCAGGGTAGAGGAGTCCAAAACTAGAGGGCATAAATTTAAGGTGAGAGGGGAAAGATATAAAAGGAACCTAAGGGAAAACTTTCTCACACAGACGGTGGTGCGCATATGGAAGGAACTGCCAGAGGAAGTGGTGGAGGCTGGTACAATTACAACATTTAAAAGGCATCTGAATGGGTTTATGAATAGGGAGGGTTTAGAGGGATGTTGGCCAAGTGCAGATAAGTTTAGGACTAGATAAGTTTAGGACAAATTGGTGTGGACATATTGAACCAAAGGGTCTGTTTCTATGCTGTACATCTCTATAAGACGTAATTGCTGCAGGAATACTTTCAACTTAATTATTAACTTCAGGATCATAGAAAACCCATACAGTGCATTCATAAATTTCAAAGTATAAATCAAAAATAAATATATACAAGGGGTCCTGATTCATGAATGTCCGACTTATGAATGCAAACTCATATAGAGGTATAATTTTAAAGATTCAAAACATGAATATTTGCCGTGTTTACAGATGGCCGCTTTATTTTGTCCTGCATTGTGTTCCAACTTGCTCCAGAATAGAACCTGTTCACATCCCAAGGACTGCTTGTATGTTATTAAACATTTTACATCTTCACTTGTCAATAATCTATCTAATTCTTCCTTAAAAAAATTCAATGATCCTGCCTTCATTGCTCTTTAGTGAAGAAGATCCTACAGAGTCACGACCCTCTAAGAGAAAAAGAAACTCGTTTCCATCTTAAATGGGAGACCCTTTCCTTTTATCTAATATACTTCACAAAGATTACTTCCTATTCTTCTAAACTCCGATAGATACTGGTTGATTCTTTCCCCATAAGACTCCCTCTTCATCATGGGTTCAGGGACTCAAATTCTGCATCTGCACTGTTAGTGTAGTACTGAGGGAGCACTGCACTGTCCAAGGGTCAGTACTGAGGGAATGCCGCACTGTCAGAGAGTCAGTACTGAGGGTGTGCTGCACTGTCGGAGGGTCAGTGCTGAGGGAACACTGCACTGCACTGGCCAAGCATCAGTACTGATGGAGTGCTGCTCTTTCAGAGAGTCAGCACTGAGGGACTGCTGCATTGTTGGATAGTCAGTACTGAGGGAGTGCTGCACTGTTGGAGGGTCAGTACTGAGGGAGTGCTGCACTGTTGGAGGGTCAGTTCTGAGGGAGCACTGCACTGTTGGACGGTCAGTACTGATGGAGTGCTGCACTGTTGGAGGGTCAGTTCTGACAGAGTGCTGTACTGTAAGATGGTTAGTGCTGAGTGAGTGCTGCACTGTCAGAGAGTCAGTGCTGAGGAGTGCCACACTTTCGGAGGGTCTCTTCTGAGGTTCTGTTCTGCTGTACTGCCAGACATTAAATAAAGAACCCCTATGCCCTCTTGCATAGATATAAAAGTTACCCTGAGAATAATTTGTAGAATAACAATCCCTCTTGATGTCCTGCCCAATATTTTTTCCCTCAGTGAATGACAATAGATTATGCACTTTCATTGTTGTTTGTGGGAGCTTTCTGTGCACAATTTTTTTTCATTTATGGGATGAGGGCATTACTAGCTAGGCCAGCATTTATTGTCCATCTGTAATTGCCCAGAGGGCAGGTCTGTGTCAATCACGTTGCTGAGGGTCTGGAGTCACATATAGGCCAGACCAGATAAGGATGGCAGATTGGCTGTCATTTTCCTTACATTATAACAGTGCCTATGCCTTATGAGTATTTGGTTAGCTGTAAAGTGCTTTGTGACATCCTGAGCTTGTTTGAAGTTGTATAGAAATGCAAGTCATGTTTAACTTTACCAGTTGCTATTATTTTCCCATGTACAATCAGTCTCATCTCTCAAAGACTGTTGCACAGAAAGGTACACAGCCATGAGAGATAATTCTATCTCAGTGTCACATGCAGGAAGATGACTGGAAGCATTCAATGCCAGAAATGACCCTGGTATGGAGAATGTGAGTAGGTGGCATGTGGGGCAATATTGAGCAGGAAGAACAAGTTGTAAGGGGTAACCTAAGGAGCTAACACCCCTGAGTTCCCTAATCAGCAACTCATCCCTCACCCCTTTGCCCAGAATCTCACGTTGAGATGTAACTGACCCATTGAATGATTAATGTTGGCTTTAGTATCACAAGGATACAAGGAATAGCTGACTTTCTGAAGCCAGACCTTTATGAGTTGGAGTGAATTATTGTGAAAACAACATTTCTGATTTTGAGATCTTTAGACAGCACTGTTCATCTTTCACCTCTGCATGGCTCCTTTAAAAATCCATTTTACTCAATTAATAACTCAAATAGCATGAGGACCAATCCAATTGGGATATGATCTTCTTTGAAACTGCAGATTTAACTCCACACCAACCCCATTAATATTGCTGTTCAGTTATAATGGCTCAGGTCATTGAGCAGGCAAAAGTGCCAGAGCTCTGGTTTATTCCCACTCACTCCACAGTACTTTGCTGTCACCTCATTAACTGAGGTCCTTGCTTTATATTGTCACTGCAATGTTGGACATTACGTAATATAGCAATTAGGATCCCTGGCAAATGGTGGGATGGAGAATGGGTGTATCTATCACAAAACCCAGAACTTTTCCATAAAGGTTCATATATCAAGCTGTTAAATATCTTCTCTGTATTTTGAAAGAGTGCCACTGGCTATAGCAATAAATTCTGCTTTAATCAGCTCATTTTGTGCCCTGCATTTACTTGAATGAGTTCAATAGAGATCACCAACTGATACATATAATCAACTCCAGTCAAACCATTAATTTGAAGGTTTGAAGTCATGATTTATAGTTAGGAGAATGTGTGATATGTACAAACACGTGGGGGTTAGGAAGAGGAGTAGGCCATTTGGCCCCTCAAGCCACCATTCAATCAGATCATGGTTGATCTGACTGTAGTCTCAAATTCATTTCCTAGTTGTCCCTAATTCATTTTGATCCCCTAAATAGTCAACAAATTAATCTATCTCTGCCTTTAAAGTATTCAATGACCCTGTCTGCACTGCTCTTTGTGAAAGAGAGTTCCCTGTACTCATGACCCTCTGAGAGAAAACATTTCTCCTCATTTCCACCTTTAAATGGGAGACCTCTGGTCTTCAAGTTCTGCCTCCACAAGAAGAAACATCCTTTCAGCATCCATCCTGTCAAGTCCCTCCAGGATCATATATGTTTAAATGAGATCATCTCTCATTCTTCCAAACACAACCAGATACAGACCCAACCTGTGCAACCTCACCTCATGAGATAACCCTGTCATCCCAGGAATAAGTGAAGTGAACCTCCTCTGAGCCGCTTTGAAAGTAGTTATGTCCTTTCTTAAACAAGGAGAATAAATTGTGCACATAATTCTCGATGTAGTGTCGTCAATGCCCAGTACAATCATAATAAAATACTTTTAGTTTTATATTATGTTCCCCTCGCAATATACAAAATTGTTTCATTTGCCTTCCTAATAACTTGCTGTACCTATAAAGTAACTTTTTGTGATATACATGCCAGGACACCAAGATCCGTTTGTACCTCAGAGCTCTGCAAACTCTCTCCATTTAAATAATATAACTTTTAAAAGATTCCTCCTGCAAAAGCGTAGAAATTCACATTTCTTCTACATTATAATGCCAAATTTTCACTCGCTCATTTGGGTTTATCCCTTTGCTGTCTTTCTATGTTCTCCTCAAAACTTACCTTCCTGTCTATCTTTGTGTCTTCAGCAAACTTAGAAAATATGCATTCGGTCCAAGTCATTCATCCAAATTATTGATATAAATTGTAATAGTTGAGTACCTAG